GGGGAGATAATGATAGGACAAGGGGGAATGGTTTTAAATAAAAGAGGAGAGATTTAGATTGGATACAAGGAGAAAAACCCTTCCCTGGGAGGGTGGGCAGGCCCTGGCACAGGGTGCCCAGAGAAGCTGTGGCTGCCCCTGGATCCCTGGGAGTGTCCAAGGCCAGGTTGGACAGGGCTTGGAGCAGCCTGGGATAGGGAAAGTGTCCCTGCCACGGCAGGGGGTGAATGTGACAGTCCTTCCAGCCCAAACCATTCCAGGTTTCCATGTCCTCACTGTACCCACAGTTTCCCTGCTGTGTCACCCCTGCAGCAGCCCCTGGGTGCTGGATGTCCCCTGTGCCCTGTCCCAGCTCCTGTGTTTCCTTTTCCACACACAGGTCTGTACTCAGGGCCCTCTCAATTCAAATCTGCCTGGGCTGGGACCTTCACCTGTCCCCTGTCCTGGTGCTGCTGCTCACGGGGCTCTACACCATTGCAGGTGGGTTGCTCAGCATCTGCTGGCCTCCAGTTTCCTTCTTTCATTGAAACACACCCCTCACCCTTCTGCTTTTTTATTTGGTTATTGTTATTTCTGCTCCTGGAGGGTTTTTAAGGGGTTATACCAGCGGGGTTCGTGTCCCTGCCCCATCCAGCCAGCGTCTGCTCAGCTCTCTGGAGCAGGTGATGACTCAGCCCACCACCTCTCCTTTGTCATTACATCTTTTTATTTGTAATAACTCCTCCCCCACCGCTGCTGAAGCACTTTCCCGTGTGTTTACCTATTTGTACCAGCAATGATCTGGGCTCCTCCTATTAAAGGATTATTATTGTGGAATCCACAACCTGAGAGCCCTTGACCTGGCTCCTTTCCCTTCCTCTGGCCCTGCCCTCAGTGCAAGCTGCTGCCCTCCCTTCCCAAAGCTTTCAGGAATATTTCTTGGCTCCCTGTTCCTGTGCAGGGTCAGCCCATGTGGTGGTTCTGTGACCCGGAGGTGATCAGGGTTTGGAGCTGGAGTTGGAAATTGTGGGTTCCTGGCTCCCAGCCCCACTCCCAGCCCATGGGATTGTGTACCCCTGCCAGCCCTTTGGGGGATTGTTTTGGCTGGGACATTCCTTCCCCTGGCAATTCCAGTGGAGACACCCAGGCAGTGAATCCTCCCTCCTTATCTCATCCCGGCCATCCAAACGGGAAACAATTTAAAATGTATCCATAACACAGTGGATTTTGCAAGGCTCTGGTTTCAGGCGAATCCCATTTGGGGTTTTTCCTGCCCACAAGGCCTGTTGTGATGTGAGCTCAGCCAGGTGTGATCATTGCATCACCCTGATCCCAGCAGGGCTGGGGATGGTGCAGCCCTGACCTCCCTGGATCTGATTTACTGACTGGCAGCTCAATTTTTGACCCACTTTTTAAAATTCTGCTACTTTTTAGTGCTTTTGCTGGTGTTCTGAGCTGGGGTTTGCAGCAGCTCCGGAGGGAGAGCTTGGGATGGAAAGGGACAAACACTGAATGGCCAAAGGGGATTGCACCAGGTGCTGGGAATATAAAACTGTAGGGCTGGGAGGAGAGCTGAGGGGTGCAGGAAGAGGAGGCTGGGATTTAGGGAGAGGTGGGATGAAGGTGAGATCAGTGTCCCGTGCAGGGGGGCTGGCAGCTGTCATCTACACAACTCACTGCAGACATCACTGTGGTCCTGGGACATCGTGCTGGCAGTGAAGGGTCAGAGCTGGGACAGCACAGATCCTTCCTGAGGGACCCTCTCTCCCCAGCAGGGTGGTCTTGGAAATAAATATTCAGTCTGGTGGCCGAGATGCCCAGCAGGACCCTGGTTTGTAGCAGTCAGTAAAATCTGTGGTCCCCCTGTGTCCGCTCTGCCCCTGTGTGCCGTTCCACCAGGACAGATGCCATGAAACATCCCCCTGGTGCTCCATGTGGGGCTGTCCCCTGCCCTGGTGACATTCCTGCGGACACCTCTGCTCCCCAGGTTTGTGTCTCGCTCCGAGACTGATGGAGGGTTTGGCAGCAAAGCAGAATTCCCGGTTCTGCTCCGGGAGTTTTGGGTCAAACAGGATCAAGCAGGATCGCAGAGCCCAGGGACGTGCCTGGCAGGAGGTGGTGCCGGAACGAGGCACCGCTGCAGGGTTGGGATGTGGATGACGGTGCTCTGCTCTGGGCTGGAGTGAGGGTGGTTCATCTCCAGCCCTTCCTGAACCCCCAGCACTGTTGTGTCTCCCCTCTGTCAGCCCCAGAGCATCCTCGGGAGGCCGGGAGCTTTCGTCAGCCCACCTCTGCCAGAGGGGCTCTTGGCCCTGCGGAGCAGGAAGCAAAAAGTCAGGTCCCAGCTTCAAAGGCAGGTGTTTAACTACAGGATGATTTCTAGAGGCTCTCCTGAGATGATTTCCACCATCTCCTGGGGAAGGCTGTGCAGGCAGGCAGGAAAGGCTCTGACCCAGAGCTGCGAGGTGGGAGCAGCCCCAGCCCAGTCCTGTGGCTGCTCCCCTGTGCCCAAGCAGAGCCCTGCACGCAGCAAGGCATATTTACAAAAGTCAGATGAAAGGACAGAGGCTTTCTGGAGAAGGGACAATAGCATTTAACTACCCCAAGAGCAGCACAGAGCTGCTCCAGGCACAGGAGCACTTTGCCTGTCAGGGCAGATCGGCCTGTGCGTTAGACAGCGCCTGGATGTTGGGAATGGTTGTTTGGAGCTGTCCTTGGCCGTGGGGCTCTCTGAGCATTGTCTCTGCCAGGTGCAGCCATGCAAAGGAGCCAGAGGAGGAGGGCAGGCAGGCAAAGTCTGGAAAATCCCCTCGGGGAGCTGCAGAGCCTGGTTTGTTTTGGCTTTGCTGCCTGCAAACGTGGCACGGTGTTTGCAGGGAGGTGAGGGTGCTTGGCAGAGGGAATGATCCAGGGGAGCCACAAGACAAGCTGCTGGTTGCACAGGTTTTTCCTCAGGTCTCAGGAGGCCTCAGGACAGGAGGTGGGTGTGCCCCAAGGGTGCTCGCTTTGCTCCAGCTCCTGTCAGGCTCAGCTAATAAAGGACACTCAGTAGAATCCCTGAGTGGATTGGGTTGGAAGGGACCTTAAATCTCATCCTGTTCCACTCCTGCCATGGAAGGGACACCTTCAACTGTCCCAGGTTGCTCCAAGCCCTGTCCAGCCTGGCTTTGGGCACTTCGAGGGATCCAGGAGCAGCCACAGCTTCCCTGGGCACCCTGTGCCAGGGCCTCCCCACCCTCACAGGCAAGAATTCCTTCCCAATATCCCATCTATCCCTGCCCTCTGGCAGTTTAAAATCCCTTTGCTGAACAGAGACCTTGGTGATGGCTCTGCCCAGCTCTGGCATCACAGATGAGACAGACTGGGCCATCCCAGCCCCACCTGCCTTTCACCACCAGGATTTAACCCCAGCAGAGCCCATGGGCTGTGTCCCAGCTTCTGCCAGCTGAGCTCCTGCTGCCTGCAGGGTTTTTCCCTGCTCTTCCTCCTCGGCAGGCGTGGGTGCCGTGACTTGCTGGTGAACACCTTTGGGAAGGGAGCAGGTCTGCAGCCCTAGGCACAAATCTCTGCTTTCAGCACTTGGCCTCTGCCTCTGGAGAGCCTTTGTTGGTGCCCAACGCCCAGGCAAATCTTGGGAGTAGCTGGCGCCTGGATAAACTGAGCGCTGGAGGGGGGCCAGGGGTTCTTGCACAAGAGCAGGAGGAGTTCCCAAATGCTGACTCCCTGTGAAACACAGGAGCTTGGACTGAGGGGGAATAGGGTGGGTGATGCCCCTTTGCCAGCCCCCCAAAAGCCTCAGGTCAGGGGGATGAGCTGGGATGAGGACAGGCCTGTAGGATGGTCACAGAAATGGGAGCACTGCTCCCAGGCAGGAGGGGACAGCACAAGAGGATGAATGCTTGGAAATTGGGATTTGCTCAAGCTGGGCTTAATGGTGACCCCAGTGCCTGATGCCTGAGGGGTCTGCACTTGTTCTAAAGACAGCAGCACTCGTGGGCACGGTCCTGAGAGAGGGAAACTGCCCAGGAGCACATTCCCACCTCATCCTGCTGCCCTGGAGGGGACAGAGCACAGGGTCTGGACCGCAGGGATGGAAGGGATCCAGGATGTGGCAGCAGGACCTGTTGTGGGGAATCCACCAAGGGATGCTCTTCCCTTTGTCTCTTCCCTTCATGAGGCCTCCGGAGCCTCCTCTCCTCTCCCAAGCATCAGCAGCTGCCGTGGGTTTGGGGGTGCCAATGCCCTCCCTGCTCGTATCCCAAGGCTGCTGCGTGGGTGGCCGTGGGGTGCGGAGTGGGTGCTTCCCATCCCTCCCTCCAAAAAGTGATGCCTCTGGCTCCAAAATTCTGCTGGAGGTGCCAGGGGAGCTGCAAGGAGGGTTCAGTGCCCCCCAGGAGCAGGGAGGCGGTGCGGAGCCAGGGCAGAGCCCAAGGCTGGCTGGCAGTGGAACGCGGGACTCGCTTGCAAGGGCTTGTTCATGGCACATATTCCTCATCAGGGCTCAGGCTCAGACCTTGGGTCCCATTTCCTAGGAAAAATGCAGTGAAAAGGGGCTTCTTTTCTTATTTTTCTTTTACTGGTTGCTGGAGGTTTGGGGATGGGAGCACATGGGGAAATGCTTGGGTTGGGGGTTAGAAAATATTTAGCTGGACATTTGTGCCAAGGCACCTTGAGCTGCAGTTTATTGAGTCCAAGGCCACCTAATCTTGCATTTTAATAGTCTTAGGTGAGGTTCTCCTGCCGTGGGACCAGGGAGCTTTAATGAACAGGTTGCTTTTTTACAGTACAAGGTTAAAAGAGGTGGGTCCCTTGAGGAGTCTTTGTCCCGGGACACGGCTCACCCTCCGTAGGGAGGGCAGACTGCAGTGGGACCTGCTGTGCAAAATGGTAACAGAAGTCTCTTAAATAACCAGAAGAAAACACCATCAGGGACGATCCCTCCCTTTCCAGGCAGCATTCTGGGCGAAGGAGCTGGCTGGGTTTAGCCAGCTGATCTCACAGACCGCTGGGTTTTGCTCCAACCCACTCCCCAGCGATGCTTTCCAGCTTTTAACGGGATCGGAGGTCACCCCAACCTGGAGGAGGCATCCAAGATCGTTCCTAACACTCCCTGCCACCTGCCCAGGGTGGATGCTGTGCACCTCTTCCTGGACCCTGGACAGGGATGCCTTTTGGGCTGTCCATCATGGCCATGTGGTACTGGTGCACCGACCAGGTAAATGTAAACAAGAACCCCCTGCCCCAAGGAAGGCGGCGGCGCCTGGGTTCCACCAGCTCTGCAAGGCCACCATCACCAGCCCCTACTGCTCCTTCTGGCCCGTGGTCTCCTGGGGCTGCTTTTTGGAGTCCACAGAAGCACCCTGGGCCCCCACAACCCTGTTCTTGAGGTGCTTGGACTGGGACAGTTTGGAGAGCGGGATGCCCAGGGGTGTCCTCATCTCCTCGGCCGGCTTCTGGCTCTCGGGCAGGGAGGTGAAGCGTTTGCCTGACGCTCTGGGGTTGTTTTGGGGCACGTGGCCAGGTGCTGTGGGCTTGCTGGGGCTGAAGGCCTTGCTCTGCCAGTAGGGCTGGCTGCCTGCAATGGTCTTTTTGGGTTCTGCTCCCTCCCCTCTGTACTTGGCGGCCCCGAGGGGTTTCTCGTGCGTCGGGGAGCAGGAGATCTCCTTGCCCGGCTCTCTGCCCGCGGGGGTCCGGGGCCGGTAGCGGTAGATGTGCGTCCCCTGTTTGGGAAAGAGCAGAGACAGAGGTGAGCTCTGGCTGTTGGAAGGATGCTGCTCCCTGCAAGGCCAGCTCCTCACCTGCCTGTGCCAGGTGTGCTCATGGACAAACCCCTCTGTCCCTTGGTCCCTCGCCTAAATTCAGTGGTGGCTCAAAACTGCCTCAAATATTAACCATGGCTGCTTTGATTCCTGACTGTGGTACCAAAAGCTCCAGCACTCCCAGCAGCCACTTCCCAAGCAGCCCTGGCAGTCTGGAGGCTGTCCCGAGCCAAGTTCCTCCTGCCTGGAAATCCAGGACAAGGCACCTCAACACCTTCTCTCCAGCAGCAGCCCAAACACCCACTTCAATCATCTCAGCCCTCGTGTCAGGCCCGAAGAGCATTCAGCCATCCAGACCCAGCCTGTGGGATCTGATCCTGCCAGGATCAGATGAAAGGATGGAGGGTTGGGAGAGGAGGTGGGATCAGGAGACAACAGTGAGCTGCAACACCACTGCGGGGGTGGCTCTCGTTAGCTGGGTTGAGACACACGCTTGGCTCGGGTCTGAGCACCATTAACCTCAATTCTGGACTGGGTAAGGCCATCACACATGGCTGTGGTCAGATGTTTATCTCCCCTCTGGGCGTGCCGGCTGTGTGGAGGTACCAGGGAGGTGGGACCTGCTGAGCCAAGGTGCTGATGGCAGGAGGAGCTGGGGCCAGGAGGCTGCAGAGCTGGCTGTGCCAACCTGCCCTGCCTCTGCCATCGCCCTCACTGTGCTGCTGCTGGCACCAGCCCGATTGTCAGGCAGTCCCAATGTCCCAAAGGCCTCCCTGGAGCTGTCACCTGCTGCTGTGACCAGGAGGGTTGTGTTAAAGCAGTTTAGCTTAGGTAGTCTGAGATTGATTTAATTAGGTGCTTAAATTCAGTGTCAAGGTCTGAGATGGCTTCAGGTGAGAAGGATTAAGGATTATTTATTTTCTCCCTCTGAGCTCATCATGTGCCTGAGCTGGGTGGTGGCTCCTGTGGCTCCTGACTTTCTCTGGCTCTTGGGAAGAAGTTAAGCCATGGTTTTCCCAAGTATCCCACCCCAGGAACCAACACCCTGTCCCTCCTGCCCACCAGCGGAATGAGGCAGTGCTTGCTCAGCAGAGCCTGAATCCTGCTGGGTGCTGAGCACTTCTCTGGGAGCCTTTGGAGAGACTCTGAGCTCTTTCAAATCAGCAATTCCTATGGATGTTGCCCATTTAAGAGGGATTGAGCCACCCCATCAAAGCCCAAGGGGTGGCTGTGTTGTGGATGGACACGGCTTGGCCAGAGCTTTGAGGTGTGATGGTTTGAGTGGAGCTGTGGGAGGAGGAGGAGGCTGGACTCGGTTTCCATGTCATTGTGGGCACTCTTTGGGGAGGAGATTGGACAGAAGGGGCAAGAGGGGTGGGATGGTGGTGGGGAATGGCTGCTCCTGGCTGGAGGAGGATGTGCTGCTGTGGTTGCACTGGTGCTGTGGGGTAACCCCAGCCCGTTACTGCTCCGGAGAGAAACCCCACTGTGGGTTGGGTGCACATCCGCACTGCATTTGGGCCTGACGCCCAGCAGCTCCAGCATCTGGGATGCAGTTAGGCCAGGAAGAGATGATGAGGAACAGATGTTGGTGCTGCTCAGCTCTCCTGCCTGGAGTCATCTCTCTGCTAAAAGACATCTCTGCTAAAAGACATCTGTCTTTTAGGGACAGGAGAGGACCCAGGTGTCCCTGGCGCTCTCCCCAATCCTGCTGCGCATCCAGGTGTGAATGGGGTTGTGTATTTAGGGAAGGTGATTTCCAGAGAGAAACTGGGAGAGGACTGGATTCCACAACATGGAAAACATGATGTTTGCCCTGAGTGAGCCTCCACCTGTGTTTTGGGCTCTGCTGGGCAATGGGCCAGCACCTAAGAAGTGTGGACCCAGAAAAAAAAATATATATTTGGGAGAATTGACAGTGATTTCTGTCAGATTTGAGTTTTCAAGAGTTAATCAAGGGTTACTTTGATTTATTGTTTTTACACATGAGAGAAAGTCTTCCCTGCACCTCTCCACTGAGTGCTGGCTTTCCTAACCCTGATGCTGTGCTAATTATCTGCCTCTCATCAAAGGGCCAGAACAAGTTACTGCAGGAACACCAGCGTACCCAGCCGTCCCCAGCAAGGTGGCACCTGGGTCACAGAGCATCAAAGAGCTCGATGCTCCTTGCCCTGCAGGGCTCAGGGGTATTTGATGTGCAGGGATTAAAGCTCTGAGCTCCCTGTCACTGGCTGGGAAGGGAGAAGCAAGTGGACTCTGGGATAGTAAATTTAATTCCCTGTAAATACAGATTAGATGCTCAGCTGGGGTAACCTCAGGCCATTTCAGTGATTTCAGCTGCTGGTTTTGCCCTGGGGGTTTGAATGCCCCAAAAACAGCGGGCGGGGAGCCTTGAGAAGCCAGAATGCTTGGCAGAGGTGCAAGAGGCTGCAGAGCTCAGGTGGGAATCGGGGGATCACAGTGTCATCACCCCTGGATGGGACAATGTGGTGGGGGTGGCTGCTGTGACCTCGTGCTCCTGGCAGTGGGATCCTGGCAGGCTCCCCGTGGAATTGCAGCAGGGTGACAAGGCCTGGCGTCACTCGCGGATCAGCCACAAAGCTGCTGACTGTGGCACTTGCCCACAGAGGTTGCTGTCCCTGTTCCTCCGCTGTCTTGCTCTGCCTAATTATGTGTCCGAGCGCTTTCCCTTTGATGCTAATCACCCTGGCAAGGCGCAGGAAAACAATCCTGGGAAGGACACGCCTGCACGCACAGCCTGTCCCCAGCTGGGTGTGATGCTGCTGCGGATGGAGCCCAGCGAGTCCCAGCACATCTGTACAGCTGTGCCTGGAGCCGCTGGGCTGTGGGATAATCTTCAATCACCAAAACCTTTAGCAGCCGTCCCCATCGCTGGACAGCAAGAGCTGTGGTGTGGCCACCATGTCTTTGGCCACCTCTTGGGTGGCCATGGCCACGTGCAGGGTGTTATTCTCCCGTATGGGAAGTCTGATCTCAGCATCTAGGACAACGCCAAAGGTCGGGATGATGCCAAAACTCGGGATGACACCACACCTTGGTTGAGCTGACTGGGTCACCTCCAGGTTTGCAAACCTCTGTAGGGTAGAGAAACATAAGGTTACAGCAAGAAGTCCTACCTGGGCAGCACTGCTGGGGTAGGAGCTGTTGCCATCCAGGATGTTGCGGGGCAGCATACGCCTGATCTCCACAGCGTTGCTCCTCCTCTTCGTCATGTCCTCCAAGCGCAGGTGCTTCAGGGAGGGGAGGCTGCCCAGGGGGCTGATGAAGGTGCCCCGGCTGATATGAGGGTCACTGAGCTTCCTCTGCATGGGCAGGATCTCCCCGTTGTGGGTGACGTCCGAGTTGGTTCTCCGGAGGGGCCCGTAGCGATCCCTCACCTCAAAGTACTCGTCGGAGATGGAGGAGGCGTTGGAGCGGCGGTAGCTGTGGTCAGCAGAGCTGCTGGAGTAGCTCTCCTGGTCACTGAGGGTGATGTACTCCTCTTCCTCCTCCTCCTCCTCTTCTCCCAGCCCGTTGTGGGTGCAGGGGGGCCCTTTGTCCTCCTGTGGAGCTGCCACTGGCCGCTCTGGCTGGAGATGGCAGGTCTCCATGGAAGCTCGGTTGGGTTTCTCCTCCCGCTCCTGCTTCACACCCGTGTGGTCGGCCAGGGGTGGCCGAGTGTCACCCTCCAGGGCAGCGCTTCTATCACAGCTTGTGACAACTTTGGTCATGAGGACACCAACGGGGACGGTCCTTGGCTTTGGAACTGGAGGCTTGACGTCCTCCAATGCCTCCTCCTGTGGCTTCAAATGGTGGCCCAGCGGTGAAGAGGCAAATGTCCCCACTTGCCTCGTTGTCCAGCTGACGCTTTCGATGGGGCTGGTAGTGGGGGCTGCAGGAGCTTCCACGGGGGGCTGTGGGATCTGTCTATGGCCGGGGGACAGCAGAGGCAGCTCCTGGTCTGAGTTCTTCCTGGCCTCCATCTCCCTGTTCTTCAGCATCTGCCGGTGCTGGGCGCTGGCCTGGGAGACGTCGCAGACTTTGATGCGGTTCATCTGCGACAGCTTCACGTTCTTGACCTTGGGGTCAATGATGTTGATGTAGCCCAGGACTTCGCTCCCCGGCTCGGGGTCAGGCTCCACCCAGGTGGGCAGGTAGTCAAACATGTTGGCTTTCTCCAGGTTCAGGAGGCCGGGGTGGATGAGCAGGGAGAGGTCAGCCCCGTCACCGTGCCGCTCGCCCCCCTGGCCCTCGGGGGGTGCTTTGCCTTTGTTGTCAGTCTTCTGGTTTTTGTCCTGGTTCTCGGATGAGGTTTTGCTGATCTGGTCGGCGCTCTTGGCCTTCACCAGGGCGTATTTGGGGTTTATCAGCTTCTTCACCACGGCGTTGGCGGGGGTCACCGGCACCACGGAGGGCAGCGTTACGGGCTCGGGTTCGGGCTCCTCGCCCATGGAGATGGACTTGAGGCTCACCCCCTTGGACATGAGGTAGAGCTCCTGGAACTGCTTGTCAAATGCCTCCACCACCTGGCCCGAGAGGACCGTGATGACGTTTCGGTCCGTCCTCGCTGCGGACCAGGTGAAGCTGGAACAGAAACACATTGGAGACTCTCTGAGCACTCCCTGGTAAATAACACCTTACCCCAGCCCTGGCCTTCCCCAGGGGACCGATGGTGCCAGCAGGGACATGATCTCACTGTAAACATTAATAATAATAATAATAATAATGGCATTGACAAAATAGCTCCCATCCCAAATTAGAGCGAAGGGCTGAAGTCGTGAGAGCAGTGGGACTTGAAGTAAAAATAAAAGGTATTTGCAGTGGGTCAGTTTTTCACCTTAGTGTTGGTTACTTTTCCTGTCTCAGTTTGGGTTAATTAAGAAAAGTGACTCCTAATTGGATGTGCTATTTGTTATGGCCAGAAATGAGGAAATGTTTCAGCTCCATGTTTATAAAACTTGCCTTTTAGACCTGAAACCTGATCAGGGCTGGTCTGTTTCTACCAAAGGAAGTTTTCCTTTGAACAAACTGAAATAGAGCTTGTGTAGGAGATTGACTGGAGAAGATGAGGTTGGTGGGAGAGTTGGGACTGGCTGTGGTTTGGTGCTTTGGTCCTTCCTTGTGCTCATCAGCACAGAAACACTTGGTGTGTCCCACCACCCCCAAGAAGGGTGGGTGTCCTAGACCTGGTGGTGTAGGGAGTGTGGGAAACCCTCCCAAATACTCCAAAAGCGGGAAACACTCCAAATCTCCTCGGGAAAATCATCTCCCAGTTTAGGAGGAGGAGAGCAAGGCTGGCAAGGGGTCCCAGGGCCTTGGACCACGTGGGTTCACACCGATCCTTCGACTGACCCCTCCATGGGCTGGGAGGGGAGATGTCACTGATTTACCTGTAGGAGCCACACATGGCTCGATCCCCGTCCACAAACATGAACTTCTGGGCCAAAGCCCCTTTGAACTTGGTGGCCGAACGGGTGAAGAACTCGGTCCCTCCGGTGCTGCGGACGCGCAGGTTCTGCAAGGCAGAGGCAGAGGTGTGAGCAGGAGTGAGGAGCTGCTGTGAGAGCATCTCCCACCCCTCCAAGAGCTCCATCCTCTGGATGCTCCACAGCCCCTCTGAGGAGTGGGAAGGTTCATCATGGCCGGCTCAGAGGAGCCCACAGTGATAGGGAGATAAAGCAACTCGCCCAAGGCCACGCAGTGAGCCGTGGACTCGGCTTGGAGAGTTTCCTGCTCTGCCCATGTGCCAGGCTGTGTTTGGCAGCTCCTGAACCCGGTGCCACCGGTGTCCGTGGGCGAGGGCTGTGTGGTGGCGCTGCCAAGAGCTCCCCAGCTCCTGCAATCCATGCAAATGCCACCATGGGAGAGGAGGTTCCACGCCTGCTCCCAGCAGGAGATCTGCAGGGGGTTTCAGGGGGAGGTGGTGACCCCAGGACAGCCCACCTGGACCTGCTGCAGCAGGTTTGTCCTTCCCCACGCTCCCCCTTTGCTCTGCTCCTAAATTTGGGCATCTAGTCCTTTTTGTAGGGGCTGGTGGGAAATCAGGCAGTGGGGAAACATCTTTTCACCCTCGGGAGACGAAACCTGGTGATGTGGGAGCAGGTCCCTGGAGTGTGGAGCTGGGTGTCCTCCCCAGGGAACCCAGTGATGCAGGGGCAGCCCTGCCTCCGTGAGAATGATTTTTTTGGGTTTTGTTTTTATCCCCAGTCTGGCTCCTGTCTCCAATGTCTCCATGGAGGGCACTGGCACATTCCACAGCAGAGCAGATAGCATCTCCCAGGGCAAATGGGCTCCTTTTGGGTGGGGAGAAAGTATTTTCTTAAGAAAGCACCTGCATTCCTCCTGCTCCTGCTGGGATGTTGGTAATGCTGTTGCAAAAGGCTCTGTGTCATCACTGGGTCATGCCCTCCGTGGCTGTTTCATTGTGTGTTTTGTTTTGTTTTTTTAAAGAAAAGCATCAAAAATTTGTCTTCCCCTCCTCCAGCCTTTCTCCTCTGCTTCCCTGGGCTCTCCTCTCTCCCTGGAGACCATGAGCAGGCACAGTGTGAGCCCAGATGCACCCCTAGCCCCTGCTCCCCCATGCCTGGCAGGAAAATCCAGTGCAGGTGATGTGAAAGCAACAGCTTTCCTGACTGTGTTTCCAGGGAAGTTCCACACACTTCCACACACTGAACAGAGAAGGTTTGGGGGGAATTTTTTGTGAATTTTTCCTAGCATTTCCATTTTTGCCTGCTGTGGCTGGGGCGAAAGTGGTGCCGAGCACCCTAAATTCTGTCAGTGCTGTGCTGAGGGGGCTGGGAACCGGCTGGCGAGCAGGCTGGGATGGCAATTCCCACCCCTATCCCGTGTTATCCCCACTCCTGGGGCTGCTCAGAGAGCAGTGACACCCACGGCTTCACCCTCTGCCCACCACCCACTCAGAGCCCACCTTCACCCAAACTCAAGGAGCAGCTCTGGGTTTCTCTCAGGGAACAACGCTCCCGCTGCTGGTCCCTTTTCCTCCTGGCCTACCACTGCTCCTAAGTAAAATCTGCTTCTTTAATCGCTGCCGAGGCAGCGGGACGGGTGAATCACTGCCCAGGCAGCCCTTGCTCAACGCAGCTCCCGCCTTGCCCCAGCCGGTTGCTGATTCCCAGCGGCGGCACCGAGATAACGAGGGACGTTTCGGTGACATCTCCCGCCTTACGAAGCAGCTCCCAGACTCTGCCCTACTTTCCTCACCTCCTCCCGCATCCCCTGCCAGCGAATTGGCTGCAATATGTGGCAAATCCCAACTTCCAGACATTTGCCGAGCTCTGCAGATGTTCTCCTGCTTTTCCAGTCCAGCCACCGGGCTGCTAATGCAGGAAAACACCGGAGCGCGTCAGCGCTGGCTTTTCTGGTCTTGAAGCGGCAGCAGCCTGCGGGATCCCAGACTCTGCAGGGAGCTTGGACGCAGGGAAAAGCTGGGCTGTGTTTGTTTTAATTGTTGGGAGCAGCAATTAAGCCCGGCCTGGCACTGCAGACGGGGAAGGTGCGAGGCTTGGCCAGCCGGCGCTCCCCGCGTGGGGGTCCCCGAGCTCACCTGGTGCCAGCCAGGTGTGAGGCTGTCGTGGCTCCTACGTGTTCCTGCTCAGCCAGGGGCTGGCCCTCACCGTAAGCAAATCTGGGGAGCTTGCCCAGGCACGGGCCTGCCCAGCGGGTGTTTGGCAGCGGGCACGCGGCCGGCTGACGTCAGGAGCGGCAACATCGCTGTTCTGCCAAGCAACAGGCGAGGCCGAGCCATCGTGGGGGGGTCTGCAAGCCCCCAGTGGGGCTGTGGGGATGCCCAGGTGTGTTTGCATCCGATGCTGGTGATGGGAGTGCTGTGCCCGGGGCAGAGCCTGGGACTGTCCTGTGGCTGGAGTGAGGATCCCCCGCTCTGGCTGCTGCTCCTGAGGCTGACATAACCCCCTGTCCTCTCCTCTGTGCCTTCCTCTGCCTTTGCATGAGCACTGTGATGGGTGATTTTCTCTGCACCCCTTGCTCACACAGGGACGTGGAAGGGGAATCCCAGAATCACTTGGGTTGGAAGGGACCTTAAATCCAACCCCCTTCCATGGGCAGAGACACCCTAAACTAGACCAGGTTGCTCCAAGCCCCACCCAACCGACCCCTGCACTGACAGGCATCCCCCTTGTGCTTCGCCTTCCCTGGTTTTCCATGGGATTCGTGCCCAGGAGCGATTCCATGTGCATCCATGGCCGGAGAAGGCGGCATGTGCGGGCAGGTCAGTCCCTCCAGCGTGCACTGCCCAGCACACCGAGAGCAGTGAGGGCATCCTTGGCAGCTGCCAGGGCCTCAGGCAGCGTGGGAGCCTCCCTGCTCCGCTCCCGGCCCTGTGCTGGGGCGGAGGCTCCGGAAAAGGGGAAAATTGAGTTTTTAATTCCAGCCTCTGACTTGCGGGAGAGCCCGACAGCGCGAGAAGGGCCGGCGGCCGCTGCTGCCGGTCCTGCCCCTGGGGCAGCAGCAGGCAGGGAGCTGCTGACAGCACGGACCTGGCCCTGGCACAGCATCTGCTGCTCCCTCCCTCTTGGCAGCTCGCTCCTCGGGAGGAGCTGAGCCCTCAGGTTTTCCCTGTGCCCATCCTTGTGGGGCTGTGCCCCTCCAGAGCTCCTGCCCCAGTCCCAGCACTGGCAGGGTACCAGCAGCCCCCCGGGCTTTCTGCATCCAGCTCTGCTGCAAATCCACATCCCCACCTCTCACCCATCATCCTCCATCCTGCTGCTCCCGAATTTGGGCATCACCTCCAGATTTGGCTACAGGAAAAATGGACTAAACTCTTCTAGCACTGAGGATTGTGATTGCCCAAGACAGGAGGGAGCAGAGATGGTAACTCTGATTATCTCCCTGCGTTTGGAGGAGGTTCCCTAGCTCCAGACCCTTGGGCCATCCCTACCTTCAAGTGTCCAGCGTGCATGTGGGCTCGCTCACACATCTGAAGGAAGTGCTTCACGTTGGTCTCATCCAAAATGATGTAGACTCCCACTTTCCTCTTGAAGCCGGCGTCCAGGAGGTCCTTGAAGATGTCCACGTCGGTGAACATGTCCATGACCACGGCGATGACCTGGAGAGGGGAGAGGAGAGGTGAGTCTGGGGAGCGTGGCCAGGGACAACCCAAGGTACAGTCAACACTTGTTTTGTGAGAGCCAAAGCAAAGTGCTCCCTGTAGGAGGCTGGAATTTGGGGAGCCCGGGATTGCCCCCAGCTCCAGACAGCCTGAGGATGGAAAGTCCTCCCATTCCTCTGCTGTCCCTGTGGAAAGTTTGATCTCCAGGAGAGGTAGATGTGGCACCTGGGGACACGGTTTAGTGGTGGCCCTGGCTGTGCTGAGTTAATTGTTGGACTTGATGGTCTTTGGATATTTTTTCCAACCCTAACCATTTCAGTGGTGATGCACAGCATAATCTACTGATGAAAAACCGGTTACTGAAGGTGAATCTACTTTCCCTGCCTTTAACAGGCTCCACAAAATTCAGAGTGCAGCTTCTGGCTGAGAAGTTTGGTGTCCCTTTGCTGTCAGCATTGCAGGGAGCATCAGAAGGGGAGACCTTCGATGCCCAATGATCACAGAATTGTTGAGGTTGATCAAGACCTGCAGGATCATCATTGAGTGGTGTGTCCATCTGTCCTGGTCTCACTGCCCAGCCCTGGGTGCTGCTCCTGCTGCACAGCACCCCTCCTTCCCCCCAGGCTGCAGGGAAGGAGCAGGGCAGTGACAGCTGTGTTTGTCACATGTCACTGATATTTACAGGCTGGAGCTGCCTCTGTACCCAGGGTGTTTGCTGCTCCCCCAGCCACAGGTGGGGCTGAGAGGAAAATGGGAATTTCACTGGAATGCCTGCCTGGGCACCAAAGGTCGCTCTGTGCCCATGGGTGATGATTTCCTGGTGATGGCATCACCTGTGGCGGTGAGTGGCAGCTCAGGGGATCTGGAGGGCAGCTCCACAGGGATTTCTGCCTCCCCTCATCCCAGGGAAAAGGCACCAGGGTGCTGTCACTGTCCCGTGGTTGGGAAGCTGGCAGCGCTCCCATCCCTGTGGCTGCTCCTGGAAGGTGCCCTGGGCTGGGGACAGGTGGCTGCTCTCAGCCACTTGCCCTTCCAGGAGGGCCCTGCTGGCCACGGCACATGGCTGAGCCAGGGAGGACACCAGGGAGACCCCAGGGTGCTCCTCCCTCAGGAAGGAAGGGATTGGGATGGTGCTGGGTGCTTGTACACTCAGACACATCCAGAGCTCTCAAAGCACCGAGCTGCCTTTTAATTAGTTTTGTGCCACAGGACGTGGAGAGCTTTAATTAAGCAGAGGATTGTTATGACAGTGCTGGCTCTTCCCTTCCTTTTCTGCAGGCGATGGGGGGAAGAGCAAGGCTGTGTGGGGAGCCCCAGCCCTGCTGTCCCTGATGCCACGCTGGTGTCCCCAGCCCTGACCACACAGGAGTGTTTTGGGAGATGTGAGCCAGGTGAGGGGGCACTTTATGGCTTTGCCACTCGATTTTAACTGAATTCCCAATTATCCTCACCTGTGAGCCTCTCCCCAGGCTTTGCTGTGAAAGGCTAAATCCTCACTCCCTTGTGCACCCACTCGTGCGTTTTGCTCATCCGTGTTGGCTTGGTGGGGAAACTGAGGCAGGATTGCCATGGATGCAAAGTGGGACAGGTTCAAAGCTTCTCTGGGAGCTCTGGGCTCAGATTTACCCTGTTCAGCAAGAAATTGGGGAGGAGCTGAGCTGTCTTCCATCAGTCCTGGGCAAGGGACACCTCTGGTGGGACAGTGTGTGCCTGGCTTGAGGAGGAGGGTTTGGTGGCAGAGGGTTTGGTGGCAGATGATTTGGTGGTAGATGATTTGCCTCTGACCCTGGTGCTCATGTCACTTTGCCTGTGCGCTGTGTTTTCCCCGGGAAAAGCTGAGCACTTGTCAAATGGGGATGAGAACAGCGCTGACCTTCATTTTGAAGGGAAAAGAACATTTTTCCCACTGTGGCCCCAGCAGTGCCGAGGCCTTGGCTCGCAGCTGTGGCTCTGAAGGTGCGAGGGAGCTCTGCAGGGCTGTGGGCAGGGCACTGTCCCCATCCCCAGCTCTGCAGGGCACTGCAGGCAGGGTGGCCAGCACGGGAAGGGAGCCCAGCTCTCACCCACTTGCCCAGGTTTTGAAGCCAATTCCTCCTGCTCAGCTGGTGCATCCTGTCACTGCTCAGCTCCTGCTCCCTCCCCACCACGTCTTGCCTGCAGGACAGGCTTGGCCCCGGTTTGTCACCGGGATCTCACGCCAATGTGCCAACACTGGCCTGGCATCAGGTGGGCAGGAGAGCAAGGATGGTGCTGGCAGCGCTCCCGATGCCATGACTGTCCTTTTCTGGCTGAAATCTGCTGCTGGCCTTGAGCCCTGGGATGCCAAACCCTGGCACAGGGATAATCTGCAAAGAATGGAGGCCTGTCTGCTCTGGAGCAGTGAAATCCTGCGTGCTCTTTGCTTCCCAGCTTGGGGAATGGGACAGTCTGGGGCAAGCTGTGCCATCTGTGAGGAGCGAGCTTGTCCCTTGTCCCTGTCACCTCTGCCAGGGCAGTGCTGGGTGCTGGGACATTCCCTTCTGCTGCTGTGTCACCCCAGGAAGCTTTGCCATCCCTTTGCCGTTCTCCTGGAGGGTGCAGAGGAAATCAGCCCTAAATCTACAGCTCCCAGTGCCCACACAGGTGAAGCTGGGATCCCCGGAGCTGCCAGAACCCCTCAGATTCAGCAGATGTGCAGGTCCCCAATCCCTGAGGAACAGCGAGTGTTGTATCCCTCTGGACACCGGGCAGAAGCTGTTGGGATTTTTTGGAACAGCTTTGATGAGCACATAAACTGCAGGATCATGTTTTATAGAGGAAGTTGCAGCTCTTTATTGTCTCACTATGAATCATCAGATAATGACTTTTGGGGTGCACCACGTGGGTATTTAATAAATTAGGCAGGCACCGAGGCACAATTAGAGGAAGAGTGTTGGGATGGAGGAGAGGTGGGACAAGTAACATTAATAATTGCTCTCCCCTGTCGACCCTTTCATCCAGGAACGGCAGAGGTTTTGTAAACAGTAATTAATAGGGCCTCCCAACCTTTGCTGGAAGTTGCTCAGGGTAATTACATCACCACAACCCCAATCTGGAACCTCAAGCGAGGAGAGGAGGTCAAAGTCACTGCTCTCTGCAGTGGCTTTGGGCCAAGGTCAATGTTTTCATGCTCTGGTTTCTGGTCAGAGAGAGCCAAGAGGAGAGGAGGGAGATCTTCCTCCCTTCCATCATAGAATCATTAAGGTTGGAAAAGACATTCAGGATTGTCAAGTCCAACCTTGGACCCATCACCACTTGTCAGCAGCCCGGAGTACGGAGTGCCACATCCACAAATTCCTTGAACACCTCCAGGATGGGGACTCCAAACCTTCCTGGGCAGCCCCTTCCAGTGCCTGACCACCCTTTCCATGAGGAAATTGTTCCTGATGTCCAGCCTGTGAACTGTGCAGCCTGAGGGGATCTGCAGCAAGGAAGAGGCGGCCGTGCCACGGCTCATCCTGGTGACAATCTCAGGGGTGAAGCTGCCGGTGCCCCACCTCCCTCACCACCCCCTGCTTGCTGGCCACGATGGGATTTTCAGGGAGAGCAGGGACGTGGCCACAGGATCCTGCCTCTCCTTTCTCCCATTCATTCCCAGAAAGAGGAGGGGATCATTTGCATCTCCCTCTCTGGCACGCCTGGCTTTGAGGCTCTGAGCTCGGCAGCATTTGGCCTCGTTCCTGCCAGCACCAGGGCTCCTCTGACCCTCAGAGCGGCCTCACATCCCTGGCCTTCCTCACCCTGGCTCTGTCAGTGCTCCCCAGGGCTCTGAACCTCGGCCTTTGCCCTCCTGGCCGTGGGACAGCGACTCACACGGTGGCGTTTGGGGGGTGGCACCGGCAGCGCTGCAGAGTGAGCGTCTGGGACAGGTCTGGAGCAAGGGTCATCCTCTGGCAGGGAGCTGGGAACCTCTCCCAAGCCTCTCCTTCGATGGAGAGCACTTCCACTGCCTGGTGGGATGGGGCAGTTGGGCAGGGATCTCCCCAGGGAGGACAGAGCACATGGACAGTGTGTGTGACATCTGGTGGTGGCAGCAGGGTGGTCTAGCCCAGTGTCCCCCACCCTTAGGAGCACAAGTTGTCACCTGGGCTCCACTGTGTGACAGCAGGCTCAGCCACAGGGACTTCTGTCCCCAGATACGTGGTGGGAGACCACGGAAGAGCCCCACTCTCCAGCCCCTGTAACTCCTGCCATCCCCAGACCCTGCAGCATGAAGCACTCACCCATCTCTACGTTTCCTGAGGCACCAGAAGCTCCAAGCAGGCTCCTGCATGTCACCAGTGGTGTCACCATGGCTCATCCCACAATCAGGGACCGTCTGGACGGGGAGGCAGAGCCCAGCCCTGCTCAGGGGGCATCAAGGTGCCAGTGATGAGCACAGCAGCATCAACCATGGCCAAGTCCCTGTGTCTGGAGAGGCTCCAGGGGAGGTGGGGATGTGCCTGACTCAGCTCCAGGAGCAGAGCAGGGTGTGGGATGACTCAGGAGGAGCCGCTTGCGTGGGGACAGGTGGGAAGCGGTGAGTAGGCAAAGCCAGGGTTGAGCTGCAAGCCCGAGTCAGAGGCAGCCGGAAAGACCCGAAGATGAGACATTATTTGTTGTGGGATTTGTTGTCCCATCCTCCATCCCATGGGATGTCAGCTCTCCCTTCCCTTTGCCCTCGCTGCAAAGCACTTTGGCAGGGAAAATGTCCCAGGTGAGGACAAGTCACCTCGACTTTTGTGAGAGGCCAGAGATGGCTCCTGCTGCCCTGACACCCCCAACAGCCATTCCTGTGATCCTGCTGCCTTCAGTGTTTTGAGGGATTCATTTTTCTGCCTGAGCTGCTGTGAAGAGGCTCTGCTGGCTGCATGTCACAGGTTTCCCTCTCTCCTACCAGGATCTGCAAACCCCAGCATTATCTCTGGTGCAGGTGGATCCCAGCCTGTCCCCTCTGCTCCACAGCTACCCTGGCAAGGTCTCCCCATTTTCCTGCTGGGTTGGGAAGCTCCTTCCTTGGAGTTCTCACAGTACTGGGTGCACACAACTCAAAGAGCTTCAAAGCACCAAGAAAGCAGCAGGTCCCAACCCCTCCTGCACTTCCCAGCTGGGACTGGACTGGGAAAGCCCAGCAACATCTGCCCACCTCTGCTGACCTTCAGCACAGGCCACCACCTCCCTCCTTGGCTGGTCCTCCTGCCCTTGGGATGGCTCATGCATCCCCACTCCCTGCTCCTGCGTTTGACGCCACAGGGAGGACAAGTCTCAACCCAAATCCCTTCAGCATCTGCCCAGCCTTGTCCCGCTCACCAGCTCATCCTTTTCCTCTGACAGCCAGGATGAGCCAGCTCGGAGCACCGCAGCCATCTCGGGCCAGACTGGACCTCGTGTGGGTCAGTGCCAGACCAGAAGCTCTGACCACAGGGCCACGGAGTGGGCGGATGCTGGACACAAGGACTGACCCCAGGGTCAGTGCTGGGCAGCTGGTGGATGCAGAAGCCAGACCATAATCCCAGGTTCCCATGTGCTGTCACAGCGGGAATAACGCCCGTGGAGTGGCTGGGACTGTGGGCTCACAGCTGGAGAACCCATTTTTCACAGCTCAGCCCATTTTCCTCCCCAGCAGCTTCCCCCAGAGGCCCGCAGGGACCCTGGGATGAACGGCGCTGCTGTGGGGATATTGGGAAGGGCTGTGCTGCTGCCAGGAGTGCTGAACCAGGCTAGCAGCATCCTCAGCAAAACCCGACCCCCCAAATATCGCTCACAAGGAAAAACCTGCGCGCTTGGCCCCGCTGCCTCTGCTGGGGCAGAGCTTCCCGCAGGACAGGGATTGCTCGGCTGGGCAGGACTTTGAGCACGACGCCCTGGGGCCAATCCTGCCCCGTCCCCGCGGCGCAGCTCACCTTCTGAGCCTGGCAGATCATCTTCCTCACCACCTCCTTGATGTGCGCCTGGCCCTCGATGGGTGGCTGCATGTACACGGTGGCCCTGGTGACCCCGCGGTACGCGATGGTCTCGGGCCAGCCCAGGTCCAGCTGCGGGATGGAGCGGTCGGACCTCTGGGGCCAGTACTCCAGGGAAGGGGCCATGTCCTGCTCGTCCCCTTGGCTGTTCCGCTCGCCCTCGCTGTCGCCGGTGCTGCTGCCGTGCCGCGGGATGTACTCGGAGCCGGGGTCGTAGGTCTCCAGCGTGTCCAGGATCTTCTTCAGCTCCAGCTCGGACAGGAAATCCCTGATGTTCTCCCTCTTCAGGACTTCATAGAAGGCGTCGGGGCCGCGGGAGGCCAGTGCCTCCAGGGCCAGGCGTTGCTCCTCGCTGTAGAAGAACTCAGGCTTGGACTCGCTGGACCTCCAGTTGACGTGGCTGTCGTCCAAGCACTGCACCTGGGAGAAAGCCATGGTGACCCCGCACTCCGGTCCCCTCTCCCGAGGGAGCTCGGTGCCCCCAGCGAGCGCCGGATGTCGGCAATAAATAGGAATTAATTATTCTCCAGTCTTTAAACACACGGTTTGCTTCACCCTCCCCGGCTCAGCGCGCAGCTTGGGGAAGGCACCGCTCCCTTTTCCAAGGGCTCCTGCCACGCCGGAGCTCTTCCTGCCGGGGAGGAGGCTTTGCTCCAGGCCAGAGGGCTCCAGGCAAGGAAAACTCGGAGCTTCCCCCAGCAGGAGCTGCAGCCGGCCCCAGGTGTAGCCACACCACCAGGAAGGTCCTTCACCCCCGGCTCCGCTCCCTCCTCATCCTCCGCCCTGCCAAGACAACGCTAACACCGCACGAAATAAAAAATGGGGAAGAAACAAAGAGAAAAGCGGCTTAGCGCAGGGCGGCCAGGAGCAGGATGTCTCGGCCGAGGTTCCGTGGCGGGTTCTCGCTGCCGGAGGAGCGGGGCAGCCCGGGGGTGGCTCGAAGGCGAACGCTGTGCCCCAGCCTCCTGCGCATCGCTCGGGGCTCGGGGCTCTGCCAGCGCGCAGTGCCGGGGCCGGACAGGTAACAGCAAGAAGTGAAAAGAGGAAAAGGAAAAGAGTGATTCATCCCTCCGCCCTGCCCCACCTGCAGTCACATGCTGCCTTCACACATTCCCTGCCCAGCCCGATTAACTCTTTCGGCTGATGCGCCCTCGCACCTGCGGGACCGAGCCCGGAGCCCCCCGGAGCTCTGCGGGTGCCGGAGGGTCCTGGGCGGCTCCAGAGGGCTTTGGGGGTTTTGTCTTTTTTCTTTTTTTTAAAATAAAAGTCTCTCTTCTCTGAGATTTCCCTCTTTCCCGATGTGCCGGCTGGTAAGTCGGTATTTTCCAGGAAAAGAGCTCTGTCCTGTGGTTAACCCTTGCTGTGCTGGTGCAGGGGCTCGGAGCCCGGGTGGGTCCTGGCGGCAGCACCGAGTGGGAGCTGCCAGGACGGTTCAAAGCTGCACTGAGGCAGGTTTAGACTGGATATTAGGAAGCATTTCTTTATGGAGAGGGCATTCTAATCCTGGAACAGGCTTCTTAGCGAGGTGGTCAGGGCCTCAAACCTGTCAGTGTTTAAGAGGCATTTGGACAATGCCCTTAATTGTTTGTTGGTCAGGCAATGGGACCAGATTGTTGAAAGGCTCTTCCAAATGAAAACTACTTATTCTATTCTGTCCTGTCCTGTCCCCTCCTCTGTAGGGTTTGCAGCATGGTCACGGTAACATCACCAGATCTGGCTATGACACATTTCATTTATAACTGTGAGATGGGCAAAAAAACACACCCTGGGTTCTCCAGTTGGTGCTCACAAGCCAGAGAAGTGGAAGCTCTCCTGAGCTTTTCTCTTGGAAGCTCAGCTGGAGACGAATTTCAGGAATTGGGGTCAGATTCTTGCGCCAATGCAAAAAAGCAGAGGTGCCATGGGCTGTGTGTCTGTCCCTGGCGTTGGTGTGGCTCATCTGGATTCACAACCGGATAAATGAGGGCCCTGCCTGAGTCAGGCTCCCGAGGCGAAGCCGCCCGTCTGTCCGGGTGCTCGGCCATCAAAGCGCTCCTCTCTGCAGGCACGGTGGCCCTGCTTGTCCCACGGTGACAAATCGTGTGTGGGTTTGTGCCCTGCCCTGGCCTGGCCTCTGCAGGAGGTGGCAGCAGGGCTGGGGGATGCAGGAACATGACAGATTTGTTGGGATCACACAATCATTAAAGTTGGAAATGATCAGAGTCCAACCCAGCACTGCCAGGTCAAACACTACACTGTGTCCCCAAGTGTCACATCAACATGAGGAAGATCCAAGTGTTTGGCTCCCAAAGAAAATCAGCTCAGGAGGTGTTTTGGGTGGAGCTGGTGACTTTAAGAGAGGCCCTGCAGGGATTTCCCAGTGGTGGGATGACATCCCCACACCTCAGTGATTGGTGCAGCAGAGACTGAGGGAGCTGGAACCAAACCTGGGTGTTTTAGGTGAAACCCCAGCGCTGCTGGCAGCGATGGGGACAGCAAATGGGACAGAGGGGAGCACTGAGCCAGCAGCCAGGACCTCTGGGTATGACGGGAGATGGCCCAGATGGGCGCTGGGGTGTGGGCGTGCGTGGCGTGGCAGGAGCGTGCTGTGGTTTTCGCCGCCTCAGCCGCTCGCTGCAGGTGTTTCTGTTGTGCCAGGAGATTTACAGACTCTTTCACAGGGTGTGTGCACTAATGATTTATTGCATGTGGGGTAAATGCTGCAGCCCAGCCATGGTGTGCTGGGTGCTGGCTCTGCTGCAGGGCTGGCACAGCCCCACACCTGCAGCATCACCACCTGAGCCTCACCAGGGGTGGTGGCACCTGGGTCCCCCATCTCCCCATCCCAGGGGTTTCTTCACCCCACATGGTGAATTTAACCCCTGGATTGGGTGCAGCCCCTGTTTGCAGGCTTGGGTTGCTGTGGCTGAGCGGGTTGGTCCTCGTCATTCCTGCTGGATCCAGCTGGACAGGCAGCACCCGCTGCAGACACGGCCCCCTTCCTGCAGATGGAAGCATTAATTACAAGGTCCTAATTAATCTCCCATTTTTAGCAGAGGGTCTAAAAGTGAGGCAGTGGGGTATGACACTGGGCTCTGCTCCTGCTTCCCACCCACTCTGAGGCCCCACCAAGTGTTTATTGGTAGAGTTGAGGCCTGGGGCTGGCATTTCAGCTGGAATACAACATCCAGACACGGCCTTGCCCTTCGGAGCGTTTTCCACCCTCCAGCCGCCAACGATTTGCATGGAGCCGTGCACAACGTGGTGTTTGAGAGAGGGGAAACTGAGGCACGGAGCGCTGATGGCAGCTTTGCTCACGGCTGCTGCAGGACGGAGTCACCGGAGCCTCAGCACTGACTCTGACCCTGGGGAAAGGCGGCCGGGGTTGGGCTTTTTGGCATCCTTGGGATGTGCTGAGCACGGCCTGTGGTCTGCCCACAACCCAGCCGTGCTCCCATGGCTTTTTTCCCTTTGTGGAAAGTCACAAGGTGTCACCACTGGAGTTTGGGACAAACTGGGAGGCTGAGGGTTGCTTTGGTGGAGGTCACCAGGCAGGAGAACCAGGACAAGGCTGCCAGTCCTGTGCAGAGATCACCCGTGCTCGTCCCCGTGCTCCTGCCTGGGCGGGTGCAGCCCATCCATATTTATGCCTGACATTAATTTCCATTCATTTCAATATTTTATGAGCGTAACAATTTAAAAAAAAAAAAAGGGGTTCAGCGCTGGTTGAGACATAGAAATAATTGGGTGTTGATGGTCCTGGCGTGCTGCCACGCAAATCCCAGGAGCTGCTGCTGCTGCCCATGCCCAGGAAATTGCCACAACGGTGCACGAAGCCGGCTGGCCCTGTGGGTGGGGATGGGCAGTGCCTGCCCCAGAGCTCTGCTGCCTCCAGCTGTAGCCCCAGGTCCTGGTGGGGCTCTGGAGATCCCCCCGGGGCAGCTGTCACTGGATTTAATGTGGGAATAGGTCCAACCTGAGCCGGGCTGGGTGTGGGCAGCAGGAGGTGAGGGGTGGGATGGATCCTGCTGTGTTGGAGCTGAGGGTGGGAATGAGGTGGGGGAAGCATAGGTGGATTTTCCCGTGGGATGTGCTCCTCGCTTCTCCACCCGGTGTCCTGCCAAGGTCTGCAAACCGTGGCCACGGCAAAGGGTCAACATCTGCCCAGTGGGAGGGGGCATGAGGGGGGTGAAGGGGTGCAGGGCTGGCCCCCACCCTGCCAAGGGGGGTCTCAAGATGTCACCTGTCTCTGTCCCCCAGCCCCCGTGGCCTTTGTGGACCCCGAGGAGTGCAGCCGTGTGTGAGGGGCTGCCCTGGGCTGCTCCAGCATCGCCTACCCCGAGCCGGTGGTGGAGCCCTGAGGTGGGGAGGTGCCGGGGGGTGACCCCATCCCCACCGGGCTTTGCTGCACCCCGGGGTTGCTGCCAGGGCTTGGATGTTGGGGGGACCCCAGGGATGGTCTGGGAGGGTCTGTGCGTGGCACAGCCCAAAAGTGAAGTCAGGGGATGTGAGGTCCCGGGGTGCCGCTGAACGTTCCCAAACTCCATCCTCGCCCCAGGGGAGATCCCAGGGTCTGGCTGCAGAGGGGTAGGGACCGTCCCGGGGTTATCCTGCCCCATCCCATCCCTCCCGGTTCAGCCGCTCCCCCTCAGGGCTGCGGGGTCTGATGATCGCGGTGACGGTGGCAGAGCTCGTGTCATCCCCGACCTCCATCCTCAGCAGCAGCAGCACCCTGCCCCTCACCACGGACATCTGGGGAAGCTGCCGGTGACCGGGAGCTGCTCCTCGTGGGCAGGTTCTGACCGGGGGTTTCGGGGACCCGGGGGGTTTCGGGGAGACTGGTGGGGCCGGTCGAGCCTGCAAAGTGCCTCCACTCAGCCTGGTTTGTGTAAGGAAAACAAGCCCTTGGATTATTTTAGGGATGAAAGCGCTGGAAATGCAGACGGAGCACTCGGTGCAGCCTCTCCCCGCCGCCTCCAGCCCGGTCACACACCGGGGGGCAGAAGGCAGCGCTGCCCGCACATCCCCGGCCGCCGGTGCCGGTGCTGGTATTGGTGTCGGTGCCGGTGTCAGTGCCAGTGTCGGTGTCAGTGTCGGTGCCAGTGTCAGTGCCGGTGCCGGTGTCGGTGGCTGTGCCGGTGCCGGTGCCGGTGCCGGTGCCGGTGCCGGTGCCGGTGCCGGTGCCGAGCCCCGGCAGTGCCCGCAGAGCCCGCTCGGGGCGGCGCAGTCAGCGCTGGGGAATGGATGTCCCGGCACCGCCGCGGGGCCAGCAGCGTCCCCGGCCGGGCAGACAACAACAAGCAGCGAATCTGGGTCAGGGCTTCGGCTGGGCTGTGCGGAGGTTCGGCCGCACCAGCGGCCGCAGGAGCGGCGGTTCCTTGGCATCCTCCGCCTCCAGAGGGTGGGAAGGGGATGCGCAGCGATCCCGGGGAATGGGGGTCCGCACTGTCCCCCTTGTCTCAGGGCCTGTTTAGCCCCTCCCTGGCACTGGCTTCGCTGCGGGTGACAAGGGTGTGACACGGCAGGACAGCTTTCCCCAGGATGGATAATGAATGTTTGCGAAGGGCTTTGCCCGCCCGAGGCGGGAGTCGCTGCCGCGACTTCCTCAGTGTCGGGTGATTAGTAGGGATAGAGCCGAGGAAATGTGCTTGGGAGAGGGAAAAAAAAACTGTTTAAGCCTCAAGTTTGAGGTTTTCCTCAGCGTGGAGAAAGGTGGGTTGGGTCCCGAGTAGTTTTCAGGGGGTCCCAAGCGCCCCCGCACCCACCAGGGTGGGGATGCCCCATCCTGGGATCACAGTTTGGGCCGGAAGGTTCCTTTGGGAAGGGCTTTGATTGTGGGGTGGCAAATCCACTGGTGCAGCGAGCTGGGTGTTCTGAGCACTGCATTCCTTGAGCACATCCCAGAGGGTGCGAGGTGTGGGGGGCATTTGTGGGGGCAGAAAACCCCTGGGAGGGGTTTGGGAAAGGCATTGGGATGGGGAAATGGGGGCTGCAGGGAAGCAAAGCCACAGTGAAGCAGCACCTGCGTGAATGGAGGGACGGGACCACTTTGGCAGTGCTGGAAAAGAAGCAGCTACACTCGAAGGTAACGCCCAGACACATTTTACCAGCCCTAAATAAAAAAGAATATAAAAAAGTGCCACAAATTGCAGCTCTGAACAGCACCTGCTGCATGGAATCCCCCTGGATCAGCCTTCCCTGGTACCCTGAGTCCTGGAATTCCTCCGTGGAGTTGTGGATCCTGGTTGTGTCCCGGCTGCCTGCAGCTCTCCCTGGAGCTGGGGATTTGGAGAAGAGCCAAAGTTTGGGGTTTTGGGCTCACCCCCTCTGTTGCTCTCATCCCACTGGATTGTGGCTCTGGAAAAGTTTTTATGGCCATGGTTGAACACTGCCCACTCCCTCCCCGGGGAGCGGCGCTGCCAGCCCCGTCCCTGGGGGTCATGGAGCTCTGGGGAACAGGGGAGCCACAGCTGAGGTTTCACAAGGGTCAGGCACCATCCTGGGGACACTCAGGGGTGAGTGGACACTCAGGACAGGCACGAGGCAGCTCTGGTGAGTGAGGACACTGGGGCCAGGACCAGCGGTGACGGTCACTGGCAGATGGGGTGGACGTAGCGCCGGGGGAAGAGCCCAACGCGGCCGTAGATCTTCCCCCGCCACCAGCTGGGGTCGGGGCAGTCCAGGACCTCAATGATGTCCCCACGGAGGAAGGGCAGCTGGGAGCCCTCCTGGGCGGAGAAATCAAACTGAGCTTGCACGTATCGGGGTCTCTTCACCTGCAGGGAAGCCGAGGGCAGGGGTTGGTGGGAGGAGAGGGGTCCCCATCTGCCAACCCCCAGAGTGGTGGCACTGCCTGGGCACTCAGGGTGATGGGGACACTGTGCCACCACGGGATGGGGACGAGCCTGGGGACGCCTGCTTGGAAGAGACAGAAGCTAGAAAAGGAAGGAGTGGAGTGCTGGGGACGATCCCAGCTGCAGGGGAACACCCCAGGGCACAAGGCTCCCTGTTCTTGCTGCTGGGACACCCAAGGCGGGTGCCCAGGGGACCCTTGGAGGCAGCTCCTCTCCTTCCCAGGTCCTTCCAGGTGCTGGAGCCTTCCCCATCCCAGCTCCCAAAGTCCAGTTTTGCTACCTCCACAAGCACTGCCCCAGGGCTTCGCTGGTGTTTGGCTGTGCCCCCTGCCCTGGGCATCACCCCTGGCCCAAGGGACAGCGATGTGTGCCCTGCCCTGCCCCACTGAGCTGCTCCAGGAGCTCTTCCTCCCTGCAGCACTGCCTGTCTCAGGCTGCTGCACCCTCTCCTGCTCCTCACCCCTCGAGCCAAAGGCTAAGTGCCAGCCAGGGATGTCCGTGTCCCCCTCTGCAGGGACACTGAGGGGGCTCACGCAGGGGTTTGGGACCCGTGGCCCCATCCATGGTGGTACCTCCTGGGTCTGGTCCTTGTCCCACAGGAAAATCTGCTGCTCTTTGGCGACTGTGGTCATCCTGTAGAAATCCACCAGCTTGTTGAGGGAGTTGAACTTTTCCTCCCAGAGGAAATATTTGCCGTTCCTCTCCCTGAGCACCTTGAAGTGCTGGACGTTCTTCCCGTAGCTGCAGAAGGAGGATGGGGGTCACCCTGGGGACATCCTGGCAGCATCCCCTGAGGTGGGTAAAGCCTGGGGGTGCTGGCAAGGTCGGGGTGAGCCCATGGGTCTCTCTGCACCCTTCCTGCCGTGGTGGGGGTGACTGGGGTCATTCCTGGCCCTGCAGTGAGGACCCACAGCTGAGCCCTGCTACACCTCACCCCACGGGCAGCCAGAGCTGGGTGCAGGCCCTGGCACAGCGGGGCTCGGGAGTGGCAGTGTGCCAGCCACGTGGAGGGCAGGTGGCTTTGTCCAGGGCCACATCTGAGGGAGGCGTGGTGAGAGCTGCGGGTCTCCACACGCCAGGAGGCTGCAGATGCTGAGATTGTGCCCCTGGGGACCCCCGCGCTGCAGGAGGATGGGGCAGGCAGGATTTCCCTTGCTGTCACCCCACAGGGTGTGCCTGGGGTGAGAGGTTGGGGTGCCCACACTGCCCAGAGGCAGGGGCAGGACCCGGCCGCGCTGCTGGTGACGCACGGCAGAGCGCGGCTCCCTTTCATTAGCGGCAAGAAGCTCCCGAAACGTTCAATTAGGGATTAAAAGGGTGAGAAAGTGCCTGCCTGGCCTGGGGCCGCCCCCCCCGCTCCCCTGGCCGGGGCACGGAAGGGGTGAGATAGCCGGGGACACGCTCTGCCCGTTGTACAGCCAGTGCTGAACTCCTGGGGATGCTCCAGCCCTTCATTCCTGGGGATGCTCCAGCCCTTCATCCCTGGGGATCCTGCAGCCCTTCATCCCTGGGGATCCTGCAGCCCTTCATCCCTGGGATGCTCCAGCCCTTCATCCCGGGGATGCTCCAGCCCTTCATCCCTGGGGATGCTCCGGGCTTTGTTCCCGTGTCCCCGGGCTGTGCGTGCAGCTCGGCCCCAGCCCCATCATCACCCACAGGGTTGTGTTTAGGGGTGTCCCTGCGAGGGACCCCAAGCGAGGCAGCGGTGGGGGGAGCAGGAAGCAGCGGGGATGGAGGCGAGGAAGGAGGGGAAGGTCTGTGCGAGGCTGTGCTGGATGTGTTTGGGACACGGCTCCGAGGAGGCCAGGACAGGGCAGGGTGCTCAGCCCTTGCCCAGCACACACGAGGGGGGCCCGATTCCTCGGTGCCCAAAGCGGGGGCTGCGGGGACCCCTTCCCCTCCTCCTGTCCCAAAGGCACTCACTTGACGGAGAGGGAGAACTCTCCCGGGGCGCTCTCGCTGTCGCGGATCAGGAAGGCTCCCAGGTGATCGCGCTGGAGCAGCCGCTCCTCTGCCAGGTACCGGGAGATCCTGCCCGCGTACCACCTGCGAGGGGCACCGGGCTGAGCCACTCGGGCACCCCCGGGGACACCCCGGCACCGCATCCGCACCCTGCGGCGTGGAGGCACCGAGATTCCCGGTGCCGCCGGGAGAGGGGCCTCCATCGGGCTCCTCACAGGGCTGGGACCCTCCCCCGGCGGTTCCTCCCTTCCTTTCCCCCTCCTGGTTCATCCCGGTATTTTAGGGGGGCACCGCAGGGTGCTGCGGGCGCGCTGCCCCCTCCGAGCGGGGCGAGCGTCACCGACAGCCGCGACCGCATCCTGTCACCTGGGCTGTCACCTCGGCCCCCGCTCGGCCGCCTGTCCCCTCCCTTGGCCCCTCTAGGTGGAGAGCAGAAAAGCCTCGGTTCCAGCACAAACCCCTCCTGCCCGAGGGAGTCCCAGGAGCGGAATCCCCGCGTCCCACCCCTGCCGAGGCTGGGCCGGGGTATTTCAGCTCCCTGCGCCGGGAAGATTCTTTGCTACCGTAAAAATTGTCCGGTGAATGATCAACCACGGAGTTTAGCACAGAGCCAGCCCTCCAGGTGCTGCATGGAAGAGGTTTTGTCTCGCCCATCCCGGTTGTTATCCCAAGCTGGAGAAGCAGTGGGATGCGCCCCGGGCTGCCCCGAGCCCACGCGTTCGCTCTGGCATTTAAATGTGATTTACCAGGGGCTAAGGATACATAAAACACAGGTTCAATCAGGGATGGATTAGGCTGGGCTTTAATAGCGCGGTAATAGGATTGTGTTTAATACAGTCGTAATCCCGTAATGCTTTGTTGCTCCCCAATTATTTATTTAGTGGCAGCTCGGTGTGAGGGTCGGATTTTTGGGGGTGCATGGGTGTGCTGCTGTCCCCTCGGGCTGTGGTGGCACCGACAAACTGAGCCGGCAGGCAGACCCCATCTCTGTGACTCAGTTTCCCCACGTGTGGGACTACCCTGGCTCGTGGCAGACCTTTGGGAATTGGGATTGTTGCCTGGCTGGTGGGATGGTACTTACGGGTGTGGCTTGACCTTGATGTAGTTTTTGGGGACAAAGCCCTCGCAGCCGAACAGCTCAGCCTTGTACCAGTTCTGGTCATCTTCCATGTTGAGGATCTGAGGTGGGAGAGGAGCAGGGAGGTGTCAGCCTGGCTGCCATTCCCCTGGGAGAGGGGCTGAGCAGGACCCCACTGCTGCCCCAGACCCCACAACACCCACCAAGCATCCCCTGGGGGAAAAGGGGGGCTCTGACAGTTCCCACACACTCTGGGGGTTTTGGGGTCACAGAGCCTGGTGTTGTCCTAAGCCCCTGCCCAGGGAAGAGGGTGAAATCTGTCCCTGGGGCAGCCAGGCCACGAGCCAGGCTCCCCGGGGATGGTGGCAGTGGGTGCTGACACTGCTTCCGTGTGACAACATTTTCCAGCCTCCCACGCAGGGGCCCGGGGCCGGCACAGCTGTGAAAACAGGATCTGAAACCCCGGGTCAGGGCACGGGGAAAACACGCCAGGAGGCAGGGATGGCACGGAGGCTTTGGGGCTCTGGGTTCCCAACCTTAACCCGAACCCTCCCCGAGGGGCTCCAGGGTGCCAGGGGTGCGGGAGGAGCCCGAGAGGGATGAGCAGATGGGCAGGGAGGGGTGTCCTCAGTCCCATCGCAGGGCTGCTGTCCCCCAGCCATGTTCTGAGCCCTCCTGGAGTTTTTTTTGGGATTCCCAGGTGCCATCTAAGAGCCCACCCCAACGCCAGTGCCTGAGGGGTGTTCCCTGCTGCTGCATCCCTGTGACCTCCAGTGCTTCCCAGACAGGGAAAACGTGTCCCAGCCCCGAGGGGCTGCCACAGAGCACAGCTGGTGGCACTGGTAGCCAGGGAGGCCACACGCCATGTCCCAGCTGCAGGAGTCCGTCCCTGGCAGCACAGGCGAGCAGGGAACGCTACTCCACCCTCACAAATCCTCGAGGCTGGCTCCTTATATCCCACAGAAAGCCCCAGAAGCGTTAAAATCAGGGACAAAGAAAGCACCGGTGTCACCGTGTGCCCACTCTGTTCCCCTCCAAAAGCAACAGCACCCAACCCCATCCCAGCTGGTGACCCCTGGTCCCCCCTGTACCTTCAGGGTGTCCCCTTTCTGGAAGGGCAGCTCGTCCTGCTCCGTCGCCTGGAAGCTGTACAGGGCCACCGACTCCATGGCTCTGGGGGCTCTGCCGGGGGTGTCCCGGGGCTGTCCCGGGGCTCTGCGCACACGGTGCGGCGGCGGAGGGCAGGAAACCGCGCTGATGTCAGCGCTGCCGGGGCAGAACGCGGGGCCTGCCGCGGCCACAGCTGCCCAGATGTGCGGCGGGGGCGGGGGGAGCCGCGCCAGCCCCAGCCGGCTGCCAGGGCATCCATGTGCCAAAGGATGGCAGAAGGATTTGGCGTTTCCTCCGCGGTGAGTGCTGGGCAGCGGGGTTGGGATGGGAACAGGACGGCGAAGGGCTGGGCACGGGTTGAGGATTTGGGGAAGATCGGCTTGGAGATTTTGGAGAGCACAGGCAGCGCTGGTGGGGGAGTCTCTGGTTGAGCTGCCAAGAGGGGGCTTGGTGGGAATGGTTGTTCCAGAAGCAAGAAAATCGCGGCGGGTGGGAATTGCGGAGGCGGCGGGAGGTGGGTGGATGCGCACACCTGATTTCTTTGGAATTCAGAGCGAGCACTCCGTGGCTCAGCTCTGAACAGCGAGCTTTCAGCACAACTGATAGTGCCTCTTTGGGCTGTGGCCCCTTGCAGGGGTTGATTTTTTTCCAGTTTTCTTCTGCAGGGCTTAGGGAATAATAATAAAAAAAAATAAAAAATCCCTTGTAGACTAAAACTGAGCACTAAAACTTCCCACTGCTCCCGTGGGCGTCAGGCACTGAGTCTGCAGGGCTCGCTGCTGGGGAGCATTCCCAGCGGGAAGGTCTCCGGAGCTGTTCAGCCTTCCTGTGTGTGGGCTGGGGCATGGAGCGCACGGAAAATCCGCCAGACACTGCCTCGCTTTGCTGCGAGGAATTAAACCAGGGACAGCTGCAGCGCAGTCCCTGCCCGTGGATTTGGGCATTTTCCAGCGAGGAGCAGGATGCTGCTGCCATCTGCCCGGGGTGGGATGAGCCATGCTGCTTGTAGGGCCATTGTGGGGACATGGGCTCGGCGATTCACCTCTCCCAAACCTTATTCCCACTTCCCAAATGCTTCTAAAAAGCAAATGCCCCATAATACCCCACTGAGGCCACTTCCAGTGCCCGTGGGAAGCGGAGAGGGATGTGCAGGGCATCGCTGGGTGTCCAGAGAGGCACAATCCCCACTGCTTATCCTGGGATAAGCATTGGGATAACCTTTGCTGGTCCCAGGGGACACGGAGAAGGCCAGGAGGGTCAGGGAGGCCGTGGGAAGAGGCTCTGATGTGCTCAGCTGTCACACGGAGGATGGGATTCAGCAAATCCCCACATCCTGGAGAGACCCAAGGAATAGGAATGCAGCAGGAAATCATCTTGGGATGATCTCCCTCTGCCCCTCGGCAGCCTTGGGGAGGATGGAGCTGGCTGTTCCCTGGGGAAAGCAGCCCAGCAGAGCCGCTGTTCCAGCACCGCTGCGGCCAAGGGCCTGATCCTGTCCCTGGTCCAACAGACACTGTGACACTGTCACAGAGGCTGCTCCAGGCCATCCCACACGAGAACAGTAGGGCAGGGAGGGTGTCAGGGCACTGGAAGGGGTTGGTGTGGGAGAAACCTGCAGCCCAGGTTATTGGGGTGACAACCAGCTGTGCCAGGGGGGACACCAGGAGCAGTTCTGGGGTTTGGCTTCCTGGGGCAGCAGGGAGGATTTGGGGGAACCTTGGGGTGTCCGGGCTGGAGCCACACGTGGTGCCAGAGTGCCTGGGAGGGGGCACAGGACAGTGGGGTCACAGAGGGTCCCCAGGCCTGGTGCAGCGGCCAGGCTCAGGACCGGAGCAGGATGGGATCCTGCCAGCAGATGGCAGCAGTGCCCCAAGGGACAGCGGGGACACTGGGGACACCGCGGACACTGGGGACACCGCGGACACTGGGGACACTGGGGCATCGGGGACATTACGGACACTGAGGGGTCATTGGGGACACCGGGGACACTGGGGAACCGGGGACATTGGGGACACCGGGGACAGCGCCACCTGCCCCTCCACTGCGGCTCTAATGAGGCAGGCAGCCCCTCTGACATCTCTGTCACCTCCTCCATCAAGCCCCTTCCCTCGCTCCGCTCCCGCTCCGTGGGGGTGACAGCAGCACCTGCACCCCAGGAGAGGCCGGGCTGGTGCCCGAGCAGTGTGTGACCCCTTTTCTGGGCTGGGAGCCGAACCCTGCAGCGTCCGGAGGGTCCCCGGGTGCCCCATCCCGCTGTGCCAGCCGTGAGCAGGGTGGGATCCTGGGGGGATCCTGGGGAAATCCTGGGGGAAACCTGGGGGGATCCTGGGGGAATCCTGGAGGGATCCTGGGGGAATCCTGGGGGAAACCTGGGGCGATCCTGGGGGGATCCTGGGGGAATCCTGGGGGGATCCTGGAGGGATCCTGGGGGAATCCTGGTGGATCTGTCCCCTCAGCCCCGTGCCCTGCACGTCCCCAGTGTGGTGCCACACGGTTGCTGTTGGTTGGGTGTCAAAGCTCGAGCTTTGGAGTTCAGCTCAGCCTGCAAGGCGATCCCAAGGGATCCCACGGATCCCCCGAGGGCTCGGAGCAGAGCGTGGGAGCCCACCCTGCCCCGGGTTTGGCCACCAGCCCACGCTGCCCCTCCCTGCGAGCAGGGGAGTTCCGTGACCCCGGGGACAGGTGGGGGAAGGTGCCAGGGGCTCCAGCTTTGCCCTTTCCCGGCCGCAGGGCCATTCCAGGCCTTGGGAGCTGCCTGGAGCTCCTGCTGACTCCCGGCTTGCCCAATCTGCCCAGCCCTGTTTCATCAACATCCTGTGTTTACCTGGCTGCAAAATCCCCACGAGGGAGGGAGGAAGAGGAGGGAGGGGAGCTTTTTCCCCTTCCTCTGCAGCCTGGGGAGCTTTGGGCACCGCTCCGGGCTCCTCTGCGGCCCCTTGAGGACCTCAGTGACCCCTCGCTCTGCCCATGGGAGGGGAGGGGGTGTCTCAAGCCTGGCTTTGCCCCCCGAGGGGCTTTGAGATGGGCCTGGCTGGTGCAGGGCTGGGCAAGGCGAGCTGGCTCCGTGCAGAGCCAGGGCTTTGCTCCCAGGGACGGCATTGGGAGCTGGGAATGCAGCACAGCCGGGATCCAGGCTCCTGCCTGGGATGGGGAATGTGGATCAATCCTGCAGGATCCAGGCTCCTGCCTGGGATGGGGAATGTGGATCAATCCTGCAGGATCCAGGCTCTAACTGGGATGGGGAATGTGGATCAATCCTGCAGGATCCAGGCTCTAGCTGGGATGGGAATGTGGATCAATCCTGCAGGATCCAGGCTCTAGCTGGGATGGGGATCCAGATGCCTCTGGAGGAAGCAGGAGCCCCACTGAGGCCCCGTGCAGAGAGGAGGTGACATCCTGGGCTAGAAAAGGCCACGTCAGGGCCCCCAGACGGGATCTCAGCCTCAGCACTTTTCCCCCCCAGCAGAGGCCGCGTCAGTGACTCCTGAGTGCCGGATCTTGTGTGTAACCCAACTTCTCAGCCCACACTGAGGAACTTGTGTCCCTGTTTACAATTTACACCCTGGTGTAGCTGAGGACAGAGGATCAGACCCCTCTGGACCTCACAGCAAATGCAGGAAAACATTTCCAGGAGGAGCAGAACCAGGGACAATTGGCCACACTGGGTCCAGTGTGGCTGTGAAAGGCTCCTCGAGGTGCTGGTGGTCTCCAGACGTGGAGCTGCATCTCCTCAGGGTCAGCATGGGAGGCTGGGGCTGGTGTTGGGGTTTTTGGGCTGGTAAATCAGAGCAGGCCCTGCTTGCTGGTGGTGTAGGTGGGTTGGGAAGTGGGACTGTGCTCTCATGGGAGAAGCCTGAGGGCAAGGAGCTGGTGGTGGGACCTCACTTTCTGCTTTTGGTCCCAAAAATGGACCTGGAAAAGGACTGGAAGACATGAAACCTCAGGTGTGGAGTTCAACCCCAAACCTACAAGAAAGGATCACTGATGGGGTCATCCCCTTGGAGAGGGATCCAGGCTTGGATGGGGCTGGGATTGGCCTCCTGGGAAAGGGCCAAACACGGTTTTGATGAGGAGGGAGAGCCCAAACAGAGCAGCCTCAGGGGAACAAACAGTGGGGGCTTCCTGGGAGTTCCCAGGACTCCGTTTTGGGCTGCAGGATGAGGTCACTGTCAGCAGCTGGCATGGGGGCTCAGGCCAGGATCATTTACAGAGGTGTGAACCATTAACGAATTAATCATCAGGGCCAGCATAGCTGGAGGTTATTTGCCTCCCTGGGCCCTATAAAAGGATGTGGAGGGCATTTCTTGGGTTTGGGCTGCTGAGGAGGGAGTGTTCTGCCTTGTGGCTGTGTCTTGGAGCTACTCCTGAGATCCTGCTGTTCCCTGGGATGCACCAGGAGAAGAGGTGAGCTGTCCTTCTGTATGGTGGCTGCTCCTTCCCTGTCACCAGGAGAGGCTGGAGCTGTCCAGATCCACCTGGAGCAGGCACTCGGTGCCCAGCTGGCAGCAGGTCTCGTGTGCTCCATGGCTGTGATGTCCTGGGGCTTTGCTGTGGTCACCAGCACACCTGGGGGTAACTCTGGGACCTGCTGGGTGTCCTCATGCGGGTCAGGCTCTGCTTTAAGCTGTGGGAGGAATGTTTTCTGCTGAATCCTGCTGTGGAAATGTCTGATGGCCGCTCCTGGGATGAGCAGCTGCGTCTGGCCTCCAATCTTCATCCTTGGCCGTGGAGAGGGCGAGGTCCCCGTGCTAAAGTTTCCTAGATAGGCTGGTGCTGCAGCATGGATGGGAGTGAGGAATGCTCTGCCAGCTCTGGAGGGTCCTCAGAAGCCATTCCCAGCCCCCTGAAGCTGGAAAACACCCCCGTGCCGCGTTCTGTCAGCACAGGGGGTCACGGCACCGCCGTGATTCGCACGGGAGACAAATGAAAAGGGTTCCTTTAACGGGAAGTTCCAAAGCAGGCGGGCAGGAGGTGTGGGGTTTGGGTGTGGAGGCTGTTTGCTGTCTGTGTTTGCCATGGGGAGAGGCTCCTCAGCCTCGGCTGGTGGAGTAACCACCCATGGGCAGGGGAGCTCCGAGGCTCCCACAGGGCTCGT